CTATAGTTTGTTGAGTCTAATTCTACAAAGCACAACCTTCCCTTTTTAAGCCCAATTCCCCCCCCCCTCTTCTCCTTTCTTTTCCCGCTTGAAATTCTTTGCGCCTCACTCCGGCTGGCTCTCACAGTGCTTGACCTTGTAGACGCCTCTGTAGAGATAACAACACCTGGCATCTTCTCCCCCCCTTACTCCTAACTGCAATGGCAGGTCAAGCAAGCGGCCTGCAATTAACATTTTTACCATTAACCATTTAATATGCAACGCTATACTAAGTTAAAAGCAAGTAAGGTTTGTACCTTGCGTAGATCCTGACATCCATATTCTGCTTTATTACCGTTGCTATTCACCATGTTTAGAATCTTAGATAATTCTTGAGTAGAATTTTTAAATTGTTATTTTGTGATTTTACAGTTTAGATAACAGACAATGAGATATAGATAGATAGATAGATAGATAGATAGATAGATAGATAGATAGATTCATTTATATCTATCTTACTAATTATCCCTTAAGTAGCTTAAAATGCTAGTCACTACTGCATTAAAATGTAAGTATTTTAGTAATTTGCTGAATAATTTTAGTAATCTAGCAAATTACCTCTATATATTTTAGGGGATTGGGATATCTTTAATGCCTTATTATATTTTTTTAAATCCTAATTGTTTTAAACTTGTATTTAATTTTGGTCACTGATTATGATAATAAAACTACAAAACCAACATTTCTTAATTTGGTTTCTTCCAGATAGGTTGGAATATAACTCTTATAATTCCCAGACAACACTGACCATGTTGGTTGGGATTTTAGGGAGTTGTCATTCAATATATCTGGATTTTGCTAGTTTGGGAATAAGTCATTAAACAGATAAAGCAAGGGAAGTATCTTATTTTCTTGGGAAAAGTGATTAGGTGAACAGACCAAGATGTCTTTCACATACAGTCTCATTTCCACAGGTTCTGCTTTCAAACTGGTTTGCTATTTCACCAACTGGGCTCAGTACAGGCAAGATAAAGGGAAATTCTTGCCTAAAGACATTGATCCCAAACTGTGCACTCATCTCATTTATGCATTTGCGGGAATGAAAGACAACAAGATCACAACAGCAGAGTGGAATGATGAACAGCTCTACAAGGATTTCAATAACCTCAAAAAAACGTATGGAGTGGGGTGGGGAGAAAAGGGATCTTGCTAGAAATTCCTAGAACTGGGATCTTGGATTATGGGATAATAGAAGGAAGTATATAAAAATTCTACATAGGGAGCTGCAAGGGAGCTGAAGAGGAAATGTAATCAAGTCAACCGCTTGATATAATGCAGTTGTATTCATATAGGATCATCTTTTTTTTTAATTTAAAATTTCTCATACTAAAGATGAAAAATAGAAATATAGAACAGTGGAATTGTAGGCAAGGTGCTTGTTCAAAAGATTACAATCCCCCAAGAGTTTTCAGTAGAGAATGCAATGCAGGAAGTGAATATAGTTCTGTCCCCATTCTCTTTCAGCCCCAAGGATTGAACTAGAAAAAAAAATCGTGTTTGTTTTTTAATTACTTTTGTATGCATTGATGCAGCTGGGAAAAACCGCAAGAAGCCTATTTTATGTACATTGTAATGCACCAAGCTGGATCAGGCCCAATGACATTTTCTAAGCATGAAAAAAATATGTGTGTAAGATCAGATAGTTAAGAAAAGAAACTGAATTCTATTAACTGAATTTCTTCTTCTCTCATTTAGGAATCCAGGTCTGAATACACTTTTAGCTATTGGTGGATGGACTTTTGGTAGTACAAAGTAAGACTTGGGTAAACATTTCTATAAGAGGAGTTTTCTCATAAATATGCAGCACATGTGTTTCCTCTGATAATAATTTAACTACAAGTAGGAGACTTTTCTCCAATTCCTAGATCTTGGCTTTTTGTTAATTAAAGCTAAGTTCTAAACTTTATGGATGTAGATATTTTTTAAATAGGGTAGCAATGCTATAAGGTAAGGAAGAAAGAATATTGTCAACAGATTAGGATCATCAGTTCTTTGTCATTCTGAGAGACCAACAGTTTCAGAAGAAATTAAGGGCAGTTAAGACTGAAAATGAAGTATCAGTAAATAGGTGTATTAGGATAAGAGCTTCCATCTCAGCATATAAGCTTAATGTTAACATTACTACTAAAAACAGTACCCATGGATATACTTCAAATCCATCTAGCAAATGTATTAAAATATATAATAAATAAATGAAACATGTTAAAATGGAACATTACATCTGAAACAAAAGATACGGGAGACAATTTAGAGCACAGGTAGATGTTATGGAAATAAATCCCACAAAGGAAGAGACTGAACTCTGGTGTTTCTTCTGAGGTACGAAACAATGAAAAGCGATGGGATCATGTATGTGACCTTGTCACTGTTACAAGCCCAATTACAGTTCAGTTCTTCATTGAAGAATTGGGAGCCTCCTGATGGATGGAATCTAGTGCTACCAAAAACTAACGAACAAACAAAAAAGCATCATAAAATTATCCTGTCCATTCCCAATTAATACATTTTATTGTGAAAAAAGGGCAGATGTGCAGGGAAGCCTAGGAAACCTGAATCCCCCCCATTCGATAAATGAGGTAGCAGGAGAACATGGTAAAACTTTTGCCTGGAAAGATTCTTTGCAGGTTAGCAGATGAAATATTATACGCACATCTATTTTGTTTGGACATTTGAGACATTTCCTGGACTAAATGTGTGATTTTATAACGAATAGTTGTGTCCTTTCAACCATGTTCTCAAGATTTTTATTCATATTAAAAACAAAACAAAAAAAAACAGATAGAAGAATCCCATTCTTCTTTAGAGATTATTTGTGCATATATAAAATACAGTACCCACATTTTTTTTTCATTTGTGCATAATCAAGTATACCATCCTTCCCTAACCTGGGGCCTTCTAAATAAGTTGGAAATATCACTCCAAGAATTCTTAAGGCACTTCCAGACAGTCCAATTTGCATTCTTCCAAATCCTCAAAATTGTTTTGAAGCCAGCTGTGCAATCATCTTAACTTTCGCCTACCTCTGGGCACTTAGAGAATCCCAGGAACACTATAAACCAATCAGTTCTCCTTCAAGCTGACCAACAAAATTATTGTTATTATTGTTGCTGTTATTTGATCAGTCCCCACCCCCTGCAACTCTGGGATAGCAAAACTTTCCAATTCTCCACTCCATGCTGAAAAATAAATTTTAAAAATGCTAGCACCTCTCCATTTGTATCGGTATGAAGGAAGGTTATGGGAAATTACCATATATGATGGACAGTGTTTTGCAAAAACTGAAACATCCAAATCTCTTTGACTCTATTATTTCATTGTAATGAACAGTCTCTGAAAGTGAGTATCAGAGTATTGGCAGTTTAGCACTTGGGGATCTCTCCCAATATCTTTAACCATAATAGCAGACAGCTGTAGTGGGGAAAGGAAGAGACAAAAGCATCATTCACACTTCAAGAAAAGCTTGCTGAATTCCCATATTAATGTTAAAGCTGGCTTGAAGCAGAAAACAGGAGATGGAGTAGGGGAGGAGTTCCCAGCAGTAAAAACACAAACTACGCACAAGTTCCCTTCACTCACAAAATTGCAGAAATAACTCCAGCTCATTCAGGTTTCAAATAAATTGGCATAGAAGCAAAAAAAAAAAAAAAAGCCAATCAAGTGGAGCCAATATATGCAATTACAGTCCAAAATTAGCCTCAAGCTGCCTCACACTCCTTTTATGGAGGTACCTCATTCAGTTCCCATGGGAAGCTAAAACAAAAACCCATCTGAAGTGCACCATGTTGGGAGAGGTTGAGATACACATCTGCAAAGAAATAATAAATGTGGCTGTAGATGGGCAAAACTAGCAATATGTTTTAGATGATGTAATGGGCAAGGAACTTGATAGGGTTAATTGGCCCAAAGAGATGCTAGAAGTTCTAAAACCTTATATTTAGATAACTACTGTAAATATATCAGGGCCCTCAGCTAGATCTATGGAGGGAATCGTGTTCATTATGCTATGATGAACAATGCCTAAGTAGCAACTGCCAAAACAGGATTTATTCTTGGGATGCTCTTGCTGTGGCCCTCTTTGAGGGTCCTATTTTATTGTTGCAATGTCCTCCATTTTTTATTGTACACTGGTTTGTGATTATTTCATATAATGCTGATGATAAAAATGGCTACGCACGATGGAAAATACGTAATTGGAATAAGGAAAGATGCATAAGACTGGCTACTGTACATATTTAATCATGTAGTAATATAGTATACATGTTTCAAAACTGGTTTAAAAAATACTGAGTAATGTTTGGAACTAAAACTTAAAAAACAGAATCAAGCTGAAGGAAGATCTGGATAGGGAATATATTATTTGGGATAAAGTATCATTGCAAGTCAGACTAAGATAGAACTTTAGACGATATTAACGATGTCTTCCCCATCTGAAGACTAATACAACAGGTTAATTCCTATGGAAAGTGTGCTCTATATTCTGTAGTTTTGGTACTGATATTGGATGGAAGCACATCTGATACAGGTATCATACAAGGTCAATTGGCATCTTGTTTGTTCGATGTCCTCATATGTCACTTCTTTGCTAGGTTCTCTGCAATGGTAGCTACTGCTCCCAACCGCCAGACGTTTATTTCTTCTGTGGTTTCATTCCTCCAAACACATGACTTCGATGGCTTAGACCTAGATTGGGAATATCCTGGTGCCAGAGGCAGCCCTGCAGAGGATAAACAACGTTTCACCTTGTTAGTTCAGGTACAGGAAAACCTTAAGTTGATCACAACATGCAAACCACAGGTTAAAGTTTCTTGTTGCAGCATTATTTTGCACTAGCAAATTCTATGTGTGATACTCTGTGTTAGTGAATCAAAGCATCAGGGAGTATCCCCAAAGTTGTACAGAATGAATGCTGTTTTATTAGTTACTTTATTATTAGAATCAAGTAATGACAGTTGATTTGATATGCAGTCACTAGATTCCAAAATGTAATATAGGGACACATTTTTTTATCAGAAGCCAAGATGTGCATCATTATGTGATGTGTTACCCTCTAATAAGCATAGCAAGTAAGCAATATGTAATAGGTAACTAGAAATCTCTTTAATAAAAATATAATTCTAACAACAAGTATCCTGGATTTTCAGTTACTTTGGAGACAAAACTGATTGAATCAGTATCGCTATCTGTTCATTCAATCACCTGTATCTTTTTGAGTAACCTCTTCTACATTTTTATATTTTATATTTTATTTTATAAAGGATGACAGGAGCAAAACTCATGTTGTTGTCTGCTTGTCCAACTTTTTGTCTTAGGAAATGATGCAAGAATTTAAAGCAGAAGCCCAGAGGACAGGAAAGAAAAGACTCTTGCTTAGTGCTGCTGTTGCAGCTGCGAAGGAAACTATTGACAAAGCCTACGAAGTGGACAAGATCTCAGAGTGACTATATGCTGGAAAAATTATTAACTAAAATGAGAAAATTACCATAAGTGACTAAAGCAAGCATGTTCACATTAATTAATTTGATCCGTTAGCTCCAACTTTGTAAGCTGACAATTCTTATGCCTCAGTTGTGAAACTTCATGCTTTGTGGAGCCATTCAAATTATATTAAAAATGGAATTCACACATATATTTTCTGACTTTCCTTGTAGATCTCTGGATTTTATCAACCTCATGGCATATGATTTTCATGGAGCCTCAGAAGGAGTCACAGGACACGTCAGCCCCCTGTTCCCTGACACTGTATGTGATAAACACCTTTTCATCCAATAGAGACTCTTTACATTTAGATTTAGAGAACTGATCAAAAGTAATTACTGTACCTATTTAACACATATTACGTTACATTTAGAAAACAGTTATATAAAAAGAGAGATTGAGAATCAGCATGCTGGTTTTAAAACATTTTATCCAACACTTTCCCTTTTATTGTTTTCATGCCTGTGCACTTGAAAAATTGTATCTTGGTTCTCTACACAGTGACTCTCAACAATTTCTAGTTCCTTCAGATTCCTAGTAAAAAGTTCTGTGAGAGGTGCTTTTCTTAATAACTATCGCTCTATTTCTTTTATAAGAGTCAAGCTAACTGATTTTGCTAGGATGTTTGCAGATTTCTAAATGGGCATGAATGCTGCTAAAGTATCAGCAAAGATTGCTAATTCAGACGTACCAGCAGGAAAGGTGTGTTAGAAAAAACACAATATAAATCTAATGTGGCAGATATTTAAACTGAATGCATTAAAGATCCTAGGGCTGTGCACACTTCAAAAATGATTAGGAAGAAGTGCTCTGGACCTCATGCAAATGTAAGCACAACACCTCTCTGCTATTCATTGAGGCAGCCCCTCCTCTCTTTTCAAGCTTCTGCATGAGGTGAAGGTCTCTGCATTAAGTAGTCCAATTGTAGTCATGCCAAGTAACTTCCAAATTATTTTCAAAATGTACTCAGCTCTACTAGATACATTTGTACATGAGTCCAAAATATTGAGTATTGTTCATAAATCATACCTCTTAGAATTAGAATTATCTAGACTATTCTCTAGGCAATTAAGGAATATATTCCTTACAAAAGCAGATTATTTTTGTGCAGAGAAAAATTCTGAATACATAAAAATATAGTTCAGTGTCAGATAGGAAAACATAGATTTCAAAATAATGTAATAATCTTTAATACTATACCATCTTAGGATATATATCTGTCTGTTAAAAAGTTTGTACTTTGCCTATGCAGGTAGTCCTCACTCGAACAACCACAATTGGGACCGGAATCTTGATTGTTGAGTGAAGTAGTCATTAAGCGAGATGCCCATGTGACTGCTTCACTCAACAACCGCAATCTGGGCACTCCCGGTTGCAGTTGTTAAGCAATCTCCTGGGTTGTTAAGCAGACAGAGTGAAAGAACTGCCTGCTGACGGATTTCAGCTCCACGCAGAAGTCCTCCTGGCAGGCAGCTCTTTGAGAGTGAAAGGGCTGCCTGCTGGATGGTTTCCGCGCCAAACATAGCTGAAATCCTCCTGGCCGGCAGCCCTTTCGCTCTCAAATGTTCCTGCAGCCCGCCAAAGGGTTTCCCCTTCCCTCCATGCACAGAGCAGAAGAGCTGCCTGCTGAAGGATTTCAGCTCCGCACAAAGCTGAAATCCTCCCAGCAGGCAGCCTTTTTGCTCTCAAACATTCCTGCAGCCCACAGAAGGATTTCAGCTTCCCTCCGTCCCCTCCGCTTGCAACCTTCTGGGGAAGCTGGCAGAGAAGCCTGCAAATGCTATCACACGATCGCAGGGTGCTTGGCAACTGGTCATAAATGCGAGCTGGTTGCCAAGCACCCGAAATGCGGCCACGTGATCATGGAGGGGGGCAGTGCAACATTTTACGATGGCCAGAAGTGATGGGCCGTAAAGCACTCTTTCCGAAGCCATTGTAGCTTTGAACCATCATTAAACGAACAGTTGCTAAGCAAGGATTGCCTGTACATTATTCTCAGTAATAATGTGGGCAAAATATAATTTCAGAATACCATATTATTTTCCTAGTATCTATAACTTTAGCATTTGTAAACAGAGATAGGATATTATATCAAGGTGTTAACCTTTCTCCTAAAGCAATACTATTTGTTTTCTGCACATTCCAGATAATTATAACAATGAGTGAGATCCAAAGAGTTTGAATGATAATAGAGTTTTTCTTACCAGTTCCTTTCCATTATCATTCCTTGCATTTCCTAGAAAGCTGCTGCATAAATTCATGAGTTCAAATCAATACATGTTATTTGTAGCCCTCCAGATGTTTCTGAACTACAACTTCCTCACAATTGGCAATACTGATTGAGACAACTTGAACTGCAGCTCAAAACATGTGGAAGCCCAGGGGTTGCCCAACTATGTTAAAGGGATAAATTTTTCCACAGCATGAAGTGAAAGGCTACAGCTGGAAAGGAAAATTGGCAGTCTGAATGTCTCAAAATGGAAGCATTTTCCCTGCTATATGAAACTGTATCTTCACCAATATATTTTTGTTAGGACTGTAGCATAACTGTTTGGTCCATAAAAGGGTATAGCATCAAAACCAGACAAAATTGATTGAAATCATGCTTATTCATTTATTGCACTAAAGGACAATGCTGTGAAGTACTGGAAGAGCAAGGGAGCGCCATCTAAAAAGATCATTCTGGGAATTCCTGCCTACGGACGATCCTTTACCCTTTCTACTTCACAGAATGGAGTGAATGCTCCAGCCTCAGGGCCTGGGACAGCTGGTATTTACACAAAAGAAAACGGATTTTTGGCTTATTATGAGGTAAGGAAAAGATATATGGTTATGCCTTTTTCACTTCTCCATGCAAGGATAAATTCCAAGAAGTCCAACACTTCTCCATGTTTGGCTCCCTTTGGTAGATACTGCAGGGAATGTATTGGTGCAATATGTGTGTACATTTATAAATATACAAATTGATATAGGTGAAAAGACAATTTTAAAATATCAATATACTCATTGCTTCCAAAACAGATCTCGAGAATGAAGCATCTTGGGTGTCATCAGTGGATAGAGTTCAAAGGATGATGTAGATCTGACTATTCCTCTCCCTCCCTACCTCTCTGCCCCCCTCGAAAAAACTTACAATCAGCCCCTTCAGTCCTTTGGGCAGATCAACAAAGTCCTAGATTACAACTTCCTTATTGTGGGGTTGCAAGGAGAGTGCCTTCTTCTCTTAACATTCTTTTTTCTATTGCAAACATCACATTTTAATAGATATAAGGGGTGAAATCAGGCAGACAGGAATCAACCATTCTCAGTCCAGACAGAACCATTATATAAATGAAGAATAGGCATCTCTGAGTTTCAAGACCAGGAAAGAACAGCCAAAAGTCCATTTAGTCAAAAGGGTGGGAAGAAAAGGCCTTAGATTTAAACCTGGGGTGCCTAACATTTGCGTGTGTGTGTGTGTGTGTGTGTGTGAGAGAGAGAGAGAGAGAGAGAGAAAGAGAGAATTTGTGTGTATGTGTGTATGTATATATGTGTGTGTGTATGTTTGTGTAGTTTTGTGTGTGTAGAGAGAGAAAGAGAGAGCTTCTAAACTACAACTACATCACAAAATACTGAGCTAATGAGACCTTGAGTCTATGGGAATTGGGTGTGCGCGACGGGAGATAAGTTCTGGATTCCCGGAAAATGACCAAAAAGGAGCTGCAAAGATGTATGCAGTTGGAAGACTGAAGGTGGGCTAGCTGATGGGAAGACCAGTAGCACATTGTTGGGAAGATGCATGTGTGGAGATCTGATGAAAAATTTTATAAATGCCCCAAATGGCAGATGCAGTAAAAACCATGGATGCATAAAATCCATTACCACAGATAACAAGGTCTCTTTACCAACCACAGATAACAAGACTGTAGACAATTAGGTTCCCCTGTCTATGTCTTTCTTCTGGCCTGCAGTAAAGCAACTACTTTAGTGGAGTCTGTGAAGCTTCTGCTGTTACTGAATGTACTACACCTGATCTTAGCCAAAAGCCTTCCTGTTACCATTATCAAGATCCTTGCCTGCAACAATTACGCAGTTTCAGCCATCTCTTTCCATTGCCAATTTTCTGACCTCTTTTGCTGTTCCCTCTCCCCTGCAATTTATCTGAAAAGTTTCTACTGAAAACTTTGGCCAAGTACTAAAGATGCATCCTTGGAATATCCTGGGTTATTCATACTCCTTTGCCAAGCCAAAATACATCTGTCTCAGGTCACATACATATGCTTTGTTTCAGATCTGTGTCTTTAAAAATGGTGCTACCACAGTAGTGATTGAAGATCAGAAGGTTCCATATTCCTTCAAAGGAAACCAATGGGTAGGATATGATCATGTCAAGAGCGTTACAAATAAGGTAAGGACTATATATTTTAATTTAATGCTCATTTATTCTTCTAGCACAGCTCAGCAACCTCTATGTTCATAAATCACAAGATGGTAGCAACATAGACTGCTTAAGGGTCCTTTTTATGTGAAAGGCATTTTTGCAGAATTTACAATAATCCTGGTTTTCACTAAGCATATATGCAGTGGAAACCTATGGTTAATCATGTTTTCCTCAGGCATATAACCCTGTAATCATGCAGAGCCAGCTTGAGACATTTTGGCGCCCTAGGCAAAGTCTGGTGTCCCTTATGTAAAGAGGCGCACTCTTGTTCCCTTTTTCCTTCGAGTTTTTGAGCTTCACATTTACAATTTTCAGCCCTGGACAGTTTATCTCTTTTGGGGGGCATTTTTACCCTTTATTCTGAATCACAGTAAATAATTTTAATGGCATCAGCACCCATTGTTGTCATATAGCAACAATTCTGTGAAATTATATTTAACCCTTGAGTGGGTGTACTGGCACATGGGTATAACTTTGATTAGCTGATATCACGTGACTTATTCGTACCTTACTATCAGAACTTGGTCTTGCTTTAGTAATATTATTAGCTTCCTGAGGTCCATAGGTGTAATAATAATTTCTTTTTCATGACTTGCAGTGTCTGGTTAGTATGCTATTTATTACTGCTTGACCAACTTTGTGGGCATTTTCAAAAAGTGTAGAAGGAAAAAGTTCTAAAGCACCAAGGAAAGATGGTTAGATTTTATACTTATATTGTATATTTCAGAAGTCTTTTCAATTTTGGTGTGCCCTAGGCAAGTGCTTAGGTTGCCAGGCCTAGAACCCACCCTGAACCATGGCAAATCATGACAGTTGAAACTGTTGAACCACATGATTTATATTTGAGTTCAAGCATTTGAATTCCTGTTTTCTGTTTCATTCAGGTCCAGTATCTGAAGAAAGAAAACCTGGGAGGTGGTATGGTGTGGGCCTTAGATCTAGATGACTTCAGTGGTTCCTTTTGTAATGAAGGAAGATACCCACTTCTTAACACTCTGAAAAACCAGATGGGCTCTACCAGTTAATCAGGTAATATTGTACTTTTTTTCTTTAAAATCATATCTTAACCACAAGGCCAGTAGGCATTTACCCAACCCCCTTATTCTACTGGTATTTCCCATTATATAGCAATGTCAAGTTATGTGAACTTTCAACACTTCTGTAAAAGGGGAAGCATTTTCTTTAGCATAACATTCAAGATCTTTTTCCCAATACAAACATCTATAGCCATCTTCAATAGTAAACCTGACTAGTAAGTATTTATTATCTTGTCCTCCGATAGGTTAACTATGTGCTGTGCAAAAAAAAGTACATCTTTTGACTCTTGAATCTTATACCATTCAGCTTCATTGGATGACTCACGAGTCTAGTACTGGAAAGAAAGAAAAAAACTCTCCCTGTTTACTTTGTCAACATCACAGACATAGGTTGAGTCTGTGAGATTTTGCTCTCCTCTAGTGGAGATATTTAAATAATCAGTCCTAAACAATGTTTACTCAAAAGTGAGACTTGTTATGTTTTGTTCATTAGACTTGTGCAAATTGGCCACGATAAACCTTAACAAGGCACTCAATCCCATGGAGACAAGTAACTCCTCCTTTACAAGGAGTCAACAAGGAGACAATCTGCCTTGATACAGAAGTGGGGGCCTTCTGTACATGCACCTGCATGCACAGAAGCTCCTGTTTTACTGAGGAAAGCAAACAGGCACAACCTCCTTGTATCACTGATTAGAAGTGGGGTGCTGAGAGGGGGAAAGCATAGAAAAACATTTCCCTTTCCACTCGGGATCATTGTCCCCATTGGGCACAATCAGCTCAAAAGGCAACAATACACAATACAATGATTGCATGTTCTGTTGAGAGGACATTCATAGCCAGGTGCATGCAACATTTGTCAGCGCAGCACGAACAGGCGAGAAAAGGCTGCCAGCTGGCCAAACGCTATTGCCCAAGTTATTCAAAGAACAGATGAACAAGTTTTGTTTTTTTAATATAATGGGCAAGTTTTTGGGAAAAAATAGACTGTAGTAGACTTTACCACAGAGACATATGTAATCATATCCAAAGAATTACATTAACATGAATTATGTATTAGAATATAAGTAATCAAGGATTGATTATACATTGATTTCCCTGAGTTTACTAAGATAGTGCTATATAACATTTTCAGTTAAAACATTGGGACATACAGTTTTTGCACAGACATATTCTTGGTAATCAAAACACATTATGTCTGAAATGTTCATGCAATTGCAGTGGTTGAAGTTATATTAATGTTTGAGGGAATACCCACCCATATTTAACATGTACTGCATATAAAAGATTCTAGAGCAAGATTTGAGTTTAAAGGATCCTATTTCATTGCAAAGGATTGGCAAGGATGAATAATACGGTATGTTAGGGTTCTACTATGTCCTCCCATTTTGATTTTTGAGATGAATATACTTTGAGGGAACATAAATATTTCTAAAATGCCACTTTAACCATACTACCATTATGTAAAGATTTTACTGTTACTGTTTCCCTTTTTCCTTTATTGCTGCTTTGGTAGCAAATCAGATTTAGCCACATGCTATTGCCAATGAGAACAAATAAATCCAGCCAGGTTGATAGAAACATTTCCTGAATAGGCAAATATTTTCCTTCATCTTTACAACTCTCTCTCTCAAAAAAAAATCTCCAAAGTGCTGAAAGAAATCCCCTTTTCAATTCAGTTTTACTTTAGGTCTATCCAGGTTCATTATGCCCTAAATCCATTTGTTGGGTTTAATCCATAAAACCAAATTTAGAACAACTGTTAAATGATATTTGCCCTCTTAAGGCACAATAAGTGGGTTGAACAATAGGTTACAACTGTGTTATATTATATGGAAATTAATGGCTAGATGAGGCAAATTTTCTTGCAGATAAATATTCTACACTAAGAGATAGAAAACACTTCTTGTTATTATGGTCACCCGCTCCAAAAGACTCTGAGCAGTTTACAACAGCAGAATATACAATTTAAAAAGTTAAAACCATGATAACAAAACATAACAGCCCAAACTAAAAAGCAGCCATGACAATCAAAAACATGAGAGAGGCCCCAAAACAAACCCAGGTCTTAATGGCCTTCAGAACCCCAGCAGATCGGGTGCCATATGTATGTCTGGGGGGATGCTGTTGCAGAGGGTGGGGGCAGCAACAGAGAAAGCATTTTATTATAAGCTGTAAGCCACCCAGAGTCTTTAGATGGGGGCTGGAAATAAAGTTGAGAGAGAGAGTTACAGCTTGAATATTGCAAAACTAATTATATTCTTTCAATTTCAGCAGCATTCCTGAAGATGAAATGTCAGATCTAGGTCCAACACAACCTGCTTCACCAGCAGCAAACCACTTCTGTCTTTGACAAGGCTAAAAGGATCTATAGTATACTGAAGATACTGAAAAGTACTATTTCTGGTCCAACAAGTACCATTTCCATATGCTGTGCCCAGTAAGGCTAATATTTGACAATCAGTGCAGATGTTGTAACTATTTTCATTGAAGCACTTGGTCCCCACCAGTCCCAAAGATAGGCATATTCCATAACTAGCAGTGTATTGTCTCTAAATTAAACTATCCATTCTTTCCAATGTATTCATCAACCCATTTCTCTAACCTGTAATAAATGCATATTATCCTTTGATTCTTTATTCCAGTGTGTAAACAACCAAGATGTTTTTACTTCATAGTAATTTTCAGAGAACAATATGTGTTATCGCTTACTCTAGACTCTGTCTTTATTTTGTAATATTCTTTTGCTAAAGTGGATCATAAATAAACTAATTTCATTCATGGCAATTATATGTTTCTTTGTATCCTTACAGATTACAGCATTAGCAAGTTACACTAAACAATAATGGCCTCTGTAGTTGAGTCCATCCACTTGCTGCTGGTTTTCCTCTTCTCTTTCCTTCCACCTTCCCCAGCATTAAAGACTTCTTTAGAGAGCTATGTCTTTGCATAATGTGTCCAAGGTAGGATAATTTGATATACCGATATACAAGATTCAGTTTGTGTTGGAGATAAATCTAATAGAAAATTAACTATGGGGTACATATTCTTTTACGGGGGCATGACCATTCTCCGGTGCAACAAGAAACCAGGCATCATAGCCCTGTCATCTACGGAGGCTGAACACTGTGCTGAGGAACAAGCATGGAGAGAGCTTCCATGGCTGCACAAACTATTACTAGAATTCCAAATGAAAGAACCAATTCCAGCCACATTATCTGAGGACACTGTGGGAGGTATAAGAATCATAGGCATAAAACATCCAGACCCAATCTGAAACACAGACATTAAACTATGCACAAGTCTATTTTTCTCTTGGTGGTATATCTGGCCAACAAGTTCCTTTTCTTATTATTTTATTTGATTAATTCATGATTATAATAGAATCATCACTTATTTAGTTCAACATTTACAGCATGACCTACATTTTAGTTTCTAAAATAAGCAGTGGGCTACATTTTTCTTTCCTGATGTTGAAATTAGGATTACTTCAACTGTGTCTTTGTCACAGGTCAAAGTTGCTTCCTTAAAAAGAGTGCCTGTACTTAGAAGTTCCTCATTATTTAAGCTGAATTCATCGTGAAAGTCCCAACAAAACTTGTGTAATTGCTGCCAATGAGGATTTGAAACTGCACCTTAATTAGTTGACATTTTTTTTAAAAAAAGTCTATAGTTATTCTGCCCCGTCAATAAGCAATCCATTAATAGCATTCATTTATTCATTGTTCTCATCCTGGAATTTGCAGGAATCAAAAATGTTGCTGTATTCAATGAAGCAGTTTCTGTGAATGTTCTGCCTACAATTCTCTAAAAGAGAATCAAAGTGCGTTTTTAAAAAGATTGAGTTCACAGCACTAATCCTTGGTCGTGCTCGGTAACCATAATTTATTGAATCAATCACAACATACTAGCTCCACAAAACTTAGTCATACATAAACTATAAGGGTTGGATTCACACAACACAGAAGGACAAATCCAAATAAGCTTACTGTGATATATGAACTAGGTCACAGATTCAGAAGATAAATTTCCTTCTGCTTCATAATATGTAATAGAGCTGCATGGGTTGAAAAACATACAGCACACATCTTGCATTAAAATTAAAAAATCCTTTTGACTAATTTCCTCATCTGTACCTTTTCTCTTTTAGTGTTCATTCCACCTTCTATGAAATCATATCAGACAATTTTATTTTTTGAGGAGATGTTATTTGGAGGCCTGTCTTAACATGTTGCACAATCCTGTACATTTTTATTAAAAAGCAACTTCCCCCTGGACTCAATGAGACGTACTTCTAGTAAGTTGTAAAAGAAAAAAATTGCAGCTTTAAAATGTTTATATTATTGCACTTGTGGCCCTCAGTCATTTATTCTTCCCTAGGCCATTTCCAAACTCCACATCCGCAAAAGTAGATGAAACAGGAGTGATTGTAGGGTGTAGTCAAAAAAGTCAAGATGGTGGCCATAACAGTGTGATTGATGCTCCACCTTTATGGGTATCAAAAAAGCAGGCAGAGGATTGATTGGAATGTTGTTGCCATCTTGACTTTTTTGACCATACACTGCGGACATCCCTGAGATAAAAGTTAGGTTTCATGGAAGAAGTAGGCTTCTCCTCTGGAGGTTTGGCTAGCCCAGTGTTTCTCAGCCTCCACAACTTTAGGATGTGTGAACTTCAGCTCCCAGTGCTGGCTGGGGAATTCTGGGAGTTGAAGTCCACACATCTTAAAGCTGCTGAAGGTGAGAAACTCTGGGTTAGAGCACCCTGTTTTTATCAGCTTGTCTGCATGGATCTAGTCCTATGGGACTAGTCTGGGAAGCAGACTGGCACACAAGAAGCAACCCTCTCATTCCCTAACTGGTGAGCCCATATCACAGAAGAGTATTGCTTACATTTAACTGTGCAATAGTCTTGATTACTGTAGGTGCAAGGTGCATTACAACCATAGGTGTTAGTAAGAGAGAGGATTAGACCAACCTCTTTTCAGCATTGCAAAAATAGTAGCTGACCCTGTAGATTCCCAGGGCAATTAGCCAATGGAATTTAAGAATCCAGCTGTATACTTAATCTGGCTCTTGTTTATATCCTGAGTGTTCTAGAATTTGTTCACATCAAGTCAATCAAATTTGGTTTTGCAATGGCCATAGAATGTTACATCTGAGGAAGAAAACTATGCCATACTTTTCCTGTTCTGAGTGATAGATTAAAAACACAAGACATTATATCTATCTATCTATCTATCTATCTATCTATCTATCTATCTATCTATCTATCTATCTTAGTCTTGTGATGAGTGATAAGAGTGATATATGATATATAGGAATATCTGCACAGTGTATGGGCTAGACCCTCCCAAGTCCAGATGGGAGATTCCACAGAAGGTCATGGAGAA